TTTCCCCCCCCCCCCCCCCCCGGTTCACCCCCCCCCCCCCCCCTTGCAACACCGAAAGACAGTTTTTCGGGCAAAAATCTCATTACTAGGTGAGAAATTCGGGCAATCTCAGATATTTCGTCCCCAACCCCCCTCGGGCGCAAACTAGGCTCCGCCACTGTATAAAACCGTTCACTTCACAATGTACGTCTGAAATTGTACACAGGCTTCGTTTGTCAAAAGAATAATAGCTGGCTTGAAAAGATTTCTAGTTAATTTATATAGAAAACAAACTTGACATAAAAAGTTTGTGCGAAATTTGGTTTTTGGTACTTGTCCACATGAAATATAATCTCTAATAGATTACTTGTTTTTGCTGTAACACATGGTATGAATATGTTAAAGAGACAGTTGCGCCATTTTGGGCTATGAATATATGTAAATAGCCTTAGCACTAGAAATGTACACAAATTGCATAATTCCTAAAAAAAATACCCCAAAAGAGGAATTTCACTTTCTTTTTTTATGTCGTCTCTATACATGTCTCTTGAGTTTCAAACGCAGATAATTATAGATATGGAGGCTCAAATTTCGATCAACACTATATGACTGATTACCTAAAAATAAAAATTGTACATATAGAGTGTCCACATAGTCTTAATTTCTTTGTTTTGTGTAGTAAATAATAAGTTGTATACAAGATTATATTATAAATAATATTAAATTTATCTTCTCCGGTAGTAGCCTTCGTCTATATCCCCAGCGTATCGGGCAGCGTCTCGCAGAAAGGGGTTGATATCTTTAGTGTCCACGTTAGATTGTCCAAACGCTCGACCCTCACGCATTTCCATACCGTGCGGTCTACCCCCGACCTGAATTGGACATTCCAGAATAATGTCCTCCTTGCCGCTCACAGCCACTCGGAATTGAAAGAAGTAACAAACGTCCATCAGATTACAGAATTTTAAATCAGTGTCCGCTATATACGGTGGAATGGCGATCAACACGCTACGCCATCTTCTGCCTTTTCTATTGTCAAAGTCGTACGGATCCTCTCTTTTGTTGATAACCTGTCTGAAAGTTATGCTCTCTCCACGTGCGTAATAGCAGCTTTGCATTATAATGGACGCTTGTATAACGAGGATTTCCCTCGGACTCCAGTTCATGACGTCAGCATCAATGGCGATCTCCTCGCCTGGGATTCCCCCGGTTTGACTCAACGTACAGTTTACTTTCACTTGTCCAGTTTTACAGAATCCCACATAAAATCTACTGTCTTTCATTTCCTTGACAGAAAGTGTCTCCATGGGTAGTGGAGGTCGCCTCAAAAACAGAAACGGTTCACTAACGTGCATATTATCACGCTCGCTTTCGCACTCCAGTGTAATTTTCGCCGTGTACGTAACGCTACCGTAGACGCCATTGTATGATGATGGTAAGTTGGTGGGTAGCTGATACGTGAAATGAAATTCGTGGGCTCCTTTAGCTAAAGTGACTTCTCTCCCTTGCAAATCATTGACGATGTTTTTCGCGCCTTCCAGATATGTTTCTCTGCACGTGAAGAGTTTCTTTCTGTTAGGTATCTCCCAGGAAACCGCGCCAACTCCTGTTACCAGAAACTCAATGGCACGTACTCTAATTGTGCCTTTCAGGTAGATGGTAATTATCCCTTTCATGGGGTCGCCCGGTAGGTAAAACTGACGCTCTGAGGTATCATCATATACAAACTGAACTGTTAGATCTTCTACGTTGGTCATCTTTATTCAGTTGTAGTTCTTTCTCCTGAAATTATAAAATAATTTTCAAATTTAATGTTAATGAAACATCATAGTTGGAGATATCAGTAGAACAATTGCGCAAATCGTGATACAAACACAAAATTTGGTATACATGTTAATTAACTGGTAATTTTTAAAGAAACGGTTGCTGGCCAAAAACAATCATTTTTCCAATATGGCTACGGCTTATTTTGCAAATGGCAAAAGTTAAAATCGGCAGATAAGTCCACAGTATGTCATTACAGTGACAGGTGTTGATAAAGCTAAATACTTTATCAAAATGTAGTGTTTGTAATTTTTTTTTATCCCACTAAGACAGATCTTTCTCATAAAGATTTGGGGGTTTGAACCCACCAAAGTTTCAGGTGGTATTTGTTTGCCACTAATGATGATCATATCCACTCTTAAAATAACTAGCGCTCTATCACTGAGCCATCCAGTCTAGTTTCAACGTTTTGAAAATCTCTGATACCCATTATTCTTAATGATGATCTGACACAGATGAATATCTTACTCGTACGTCTGATAGATTCACTACAATTTTCTACGTTAATCAAAAAGAAAAAAAAAAACTAAAATATCGTATTTTGTGATATATAACGACCCTGGACAGTGGCCTTTTTTATATTGTATATTATAGCCGTCGTGTGTAAAGATTTTATATCTACGTCTGAGTGACCACCATCTTAAAATGAACTGACCCGAATTATAACAGTAACACCGGTATGTTGATGAAAATATGGATTGAATAGCCTTCTTCAGTTACTACTCATCTATTTAAAAAATACTGATATGCCCAAAGGGCGTTGCCAGTTTTAACAGTACGCTGGTCTTTTTCTAAGTTCGTAAATATTATTGAAATAAGAATATAATTGCTTTGATTTTTTTCTTTATTTTTATTTTCTTAAACCCAAAGAAACTGTCATATTGCTATACTTTGAAAATCGGTATCCTAATATTCGCCATAATTATCAAGACACGGGTCCTACATTACATCGTTTGATTGGTTAAGAATAACGTTATTAGAACGCAACTGTTGGACCAAACGTGATAGATTACAATACAGTTGAAAAACGCTTGAAAAATAGGATATGGTAATCTAATTCTGACTAAATTCAAAATTTTACGAAATATTTCTCTGTTACAGGCCAAGTCTAGTAGAAATGGTTTCAAATTTGTGTGCACTCATTAGGTAAATATATAAGAAGAATAATATGATAGATTTTCGCTGCAGATTGAAAGTTTAATGTAATATTCTCCAATATAGCATTATTTAATGAAAAATGTCACCATAAAATTATAAGTTTTTAAGAAATTGTCAGGTAGTAAACGTCTATCATTACATATCAATGTCAGCAATAACTAGACACGTTAAGTCAATGTTGACTTTACTTAATTCATTTATTCACTGTCAGAATGAATAGGGAGGAGTAAGGTATCCTTGCATTACGCCGTTATAGTTTATTATCTATTATGTAAAGGTCAAATAATTTGATGTCATTATGCTTGCCTTATTTTTTTTTTTTCAAAGGATTGGGGAACAGGATTTCGTCTCTCTCAATACAAAATACTTACAATACATTAAATTTAAATAACGCATATACAAACATTTATTTTGGTTTGAGCGATTTCTATTATGTTTCACATCATTGTGTCGTGATATTATCATTCCTTCCATAGAAAACTACCATTGTGTCAAGCACGATACGTTCCTATAATGTATAAAGGGCGTAGACTAGTTGCACATCGCACCTATTTATATCAAATTTAGTTATGTAAAGTTATTGATGAAAATGTTTCACAACATTGTGTGAATATATTTTACCAATATTGTAACACGAGGTGACGATGTCTATTAATAAACTTGGGTTCATAATTTCACACGTCACTTATTATTATATGTAAATTATCTAAATGTGGGTGCAGTGTATTTCACCCGTATAATTCGACTTAATTTGTTTCAAATTAGGCATAGAATTACATGAGTAAGATATTAAATTGAATTAAATCATAATGCGGTTATCTTTTTTTAATGTAAAGATCTTCATGTGAAATGAAATGAATGCAGATTTACGTCATACTTTTCTGAAACTGATTTGTCCAATGAGGACCGGTTTAAGAGCTTCGAGGGAACATTTTTTCTTGGGTGATATATTTGTATTACAGTGTATTTTAGTTTTACACCCCTCGAGTCCTCGAGAGTCTAAAAGGCAGAAAATATTACACCATAACCATAAAAGCACCGTGCATGGCGTTACCAGCCTTCATTAGCTCACATGGTGCAAGAAAGTAGGACGTACAACTCCATTCATTTCATTTCATTTCTAAGGCTATATTTGGAATGACACAATAGTAGTAATAGTTGTAATATTAATAGTTTGATGTATCGAGAAAATTCCACGTCAGTGCTCGATACACTTTACAAAAGGTGTGTTAAAAATTAAAGATTAAGAAAATATTTTCTCACGCTAAAGATTTTGAAATCAACACAATGTTTCATATCAGTCGATATGTTATCTCATTGTTTCAGGTGAAATCCATCTCTTATATAGGTCCTAGACAAAATACATTCAGTTTACTATAATATCTTTCAAGTGTTAATCAGTACATAGTTTATAAAGTTATGTTTTCCCGCAATTTCAGATTGCTAGCTACTGAAAATATTTGGGAGAATCTGACCAAGGCTGGATTTAGTTGCCGGAGGGCACCGACCACCACCGACGGATGCAAATCGCAGTTACTGCCAGTTTTAATCAGTTACAGGGGTTACATAGGCATAAGCCTGTTCCACGATCTCTTTAATATATAATAAAATAATGTATATAAAGTTTTAATCAGTTGCCCGTGTTTACTTACTGGCAAAACTCTAATAATTGACAAAACCTGCGATAAACTATGCGTTTTATGACGTCGCAAACGTCCTTATATATTAATAGCAGCTTTTGCGAACGTGACGTCATAAAGCGGAAATTACAAGAGCCACAGAGGTCTGACTGAAATAATGGAATGGTGTAAATTGAAAATATGAATGTTCTCTTACAATCCCTTTAAGAATCTGTTGAGGATGCAGGTGTATTGACACCTGGTCGAGTACCAGGAATGTTGGTGATAATACAGGTGTAAATATTGAAGGTAAGTTGAAAGAAAATAAGATTTAATGAATTTGGCTGGCGGCCATGTTAGTTACAATATTTACCAGTCAATAAGAGTTGATTATCTCTGATTGGATATTATAACTATATCAATCAGTTCACTTGTTTAGTTTATCGACATGATAAAGGTATGTGGGTAAGGGGGCTCAGGAAGACGATTGTCGGTAATGGGCTGCTCGATGAAGTTTTCCTTGTCTGTGATTCGTTCCTATGACTATATGTAAGGAATTACCGTATTGATAGACTCTAAAAGGGGGGGGGGGGGGAAGGGGTGGGGTAAGGTCTAAGAGGGAGAAGACAAGAGCTATATTGGGGGGACGGGATATGAGGGTTTTATAACAATGTAATTGGAGTGTAGGCAGTGTTTGGGTGAGGGTTTTTTCTGGTCTTTGATTGGTCAATATGACTGTATTAATCAGTTCACTTATTCAGATCATCGACATGATAAAAGTACAGGTAGACGAGAAGGGAGTTGGAAGAGGGGGTTGAGAGAGGAGGAGTGACTGTACGGGCAGGTGTTAGGGGTCTCTTAGAAGGTTATTGGATGTTTCCTGAGTGAGGGTATGAATTGAGGGAGCACGATAGGATCCTCTTCCTCCTGTTCTGATTATTGATTAAAGGGACAGGTTTCTGTTTGGAGGGAGGAGGGAGGGGGGAGGGGGGTATAGATAGATATTTATTGTATTATGAAAGGTTAAAATGACTAAATCTCGCCGAATCAGATTATTATTAATCAGAATATTTAGAGAAGGATAGAATTTACAACATAGTTTTCATTATTTTCATAAATAGAAATACAAGTACGATGCAAAAAAGTTATCAGAAAAGATATCGAGAACGTTTATGTAACGGAATAATAGAGTTTATCACTCAAAAACAACCCCACAAAATCACTAAAAATAACAGAAAATCACTAAAATAACAGCAATTTAAAACACTTCAGCAGTTATATTACTAGTTATTTCAACTTATATTAATCAGAATGTTATTTCCAATGTAAACATGATTATTTTTATCAAGTTATCTCAGTTTATAGTTTGAGAATTTGTTTGAACAAAGTAACACAATGTTTTTCTTCATTTAGAAAACAAACACAGTTTTAGTTTTAGTCTTACAAATAGAAAATGAAATGAATGGAGTTTTACGTTTTACGGGGAATTTTTCGAGGACAGCACAGCCCGTGTGCTACAGGCTGTAAAACAGGGGGAAACCAGGTTAAAAAATCCGCCGGGACTGAACCCTGGGCCCACAGGTTAGCGAGCAAGTGTAGGGGCATTTGCCCACCAATTGTACCCCCATTTTTTTTCGACAAATTGAAATATATGATTTTTGTACTTTTCGTCTCAAAATAGTGTTAAAATGCGCTAAATCAATTTAATTTGTCTAAAATTTGCTTGAGAGAACCTTCTCAGTCGCACCATTACAGACAAGACGCTCCCATAGTGTTGTTTCAGTGCCCAGTCTACCTTATTTGTCTGGCGCCGTCACTGGATTCGAGGCACGATTGTAATGGTGGTTTTAATCGTGGACTAATTGTAGATAAATGACGTCATTCGTAGCTGTCAAGTTAATTGCAACACATTTTTTGAACGGTTCGTAATGTTTCTACAATCAACACGATAAAGTTCACAACGGATCTGCTTGTATCCTCCCTTGTATATCGTAGAAACCTTTCGAATTTTTACGATGGCGTTCGAAATACCGGTCGGAACCTATATCTGTCTGTATTATACCAGGTTAATATCCAGACGACATGATCAAATAAAAACACAAGACATCTCCTACCTGTATGAGATAACAATATTAAACTGATTTTATCCTATAATG